TCATTAATGACACCTCTCATCACAGGTTGGATAGACAGTGAACACCTACAGTGTGATGTCTGAACGTATTGACCTGTTGTATTTGGGCTGCAGTGATCAACCCCCTTCACTGCTGCTGCAACAGCGGTAGGGCATTAAGTATTTATAACTGCTGGCTGCTGTCAGGCCACAGAGCTGACACACACACACACACACACACACACACACACACACACACACACACACACACACACACACACACACACACACACACACACACACACACACACACACACACACACACACACACACACACACACACACACACACACACACACACACACACACACAGTTATCGTGAGTCTTTGCTGCCACTTGGTGTTAAAGGTGTATATTACAGATAGCTTTACAAGCATGAGAGCCTCAGTTATCCAACACTCTAGTCTTCAGAAAATCTTTAGTTATTTAAACAACGTTTTCTTATTTCCTCTTTCATTTTAAGTGAAGTAAGCTAAATTAATAAATGTCATTATAAAAGGAGACAAAACTTAACCAAACCAAAAAGAAAACATCTTAAAATAAAAAAACAACCAACGACATAAAAGACAAATTACAGCATCGATGACAGTAATAATGTATTTAGAAAGTACAAGTTTTAAAGTAGTTAGTAAGTAAAGTGGTCATTGTTATAGCCTATAGTGATAAACATTAGTAGTGAGTCTGAAACATAGTGTATGAGAGCAAAAGTAATATTCAAAATGTCTAATTTGCCTCTCCTGTCCTAAAATCACCAGGGATATATATATGTATTGTAATAAACAAATAGGCTTCATGGTTATAGGTAATGATTTGTCTTGAATATAGCTCACACACCTCCGATGACATCAGAAGACTCCACTTCACTGTAACAACATTGTCAAGTTAGCCAAGTTATAACAAACCATTACACAACTGTGCCTTAAAAATAAAAGCACACACTTGCTACTCGGCAAAATTGCAAAGGTACGAGTACATCCATGTTATTTGGGTTAGACATCATGCAACAAATAAACACTCAGTTCACATCTTAAGAAACATCCTAAGAATTATGTTCTCCTTCCTTTGCCAGACTATTTTTTACAACATGTTTACATCATAAATTACAAATCCCTGGCTTTCCTCAGCAGTTTATGTTGCAAATTCACTGCATATTTTCCTCTTTGTCTGAAATCAATTAGGTGAATATATGATTTCATTCAAAGTGGATCCCTCATACAGCCAGAGTTATATACTTGCACACATAATCAGATAAGTATTAGCAGCTTTTGCAGAACTAAACCATTTAATACGGAACGACAGGACAGGAAAAACTTTCGTACCCTAATTAATTTACTTATTTATTCTTCTCTTTTAGTTTCTTTCCTCCTCACACTCCACTATTCCTCCTTTTTTTAGTTTGTTGGTTTATTTTCTCATCATGTCACCCAATATATTAACTCTGTCTTTTCTAGTCTCACCTGTCATGTCTGTTCCTCACTAAATATAAATGAAATAAAACATAATATGAAATAAATGACAGAGCAATAGGTAAAGAAAACCTAAGTACTTAAGTACAATTTTGAGATACTGTACCTTACTTGAGTATTTCCATTTAATGCTACTTTATAGATAGATAGATAGATTGTGAGGGATGAACCCCTCTGTAATGGTCACACATGCAGAGCACACAGCGCAGCTTTTAACCCATCCTAGTACCAGGAGTATAGGAGCAGTGGGCAGCTATTGTACAGCGCCCGGGGAGCAATGGTAGTGGGGGGGTTGTCCGGTGCCTTGCTCAAGGGCACCACGGCAGGGCAGGAGGTGAACTGGGACCTCTCCAAGTAGCAGTCCACACTCCATAGTTAGGTCTGTTCGGCGACTTGAACCGGCGACCCTACGGCTCACAGTCCAAGCCTCTACTGACTGTACTTCTATTCCACTGCAATTCAGAGGCAAATCTTGTACTTTTACTCCACTACATTTATTGATTATCTTTAGTTCAACCTGGAGTAAAATTCACAAGCTACGCTGCGGCTGCAGTAGCTATACAAAGTCATTCAAACTAGCTGCACCTTTACCAGCTTTAATAACACTTAAAATGCACAAATAATTATAATCAAAACATATAATATATATTATTCTGAAATGGACCAATCTACATAATGAGTACTTTTACTTTTAATACTTTAATTATATTTTGATGCCAATACTTCTGTACTCTTACTTAAATAATAATAATAATAATAAATTCAATTTATAAAGCAACTTTCATTGCTAGCAGCAATCCCAAGGTGCTACAGGAGGCATAATAAAAACAAATAAAATAAACAAAAGTTTTAATCAAAAGCTTTTTTTAAAATAAAGGTTTTTAGGGCTTTCTTGAAGGAGTCAGTAGTCTGTGGAGTCCTCAGGTGGTCTGGGAGGGAATTCCACAGGCGAGGAGCAGCTGCACAGAAAGCCCGATCCCCCATTGTGCGTAGTTTGGTCCTGGGGGGGCGAAGCAGATGGTTGGTTGTGTAGCGGAGGTTGCGTGTGGAGGTTTGAGATGTGAGAAGTTCCTTCAGGTATGGAGGAGCGTTCCCGTGGATGCATTGATGGGTCAGTAGTGCGATCTTGTAGTCGATCCTGAATGAGACAGGAAGCCAGTGGAGGGAATGAAGAACGGGTGTGATGTGGTTGTATTTTCTCACCCTCATCAGGATCCTAGCGGCACTGTTCTGTACATATTGGAGCTTCTGAAGGCTCCCGCTAGGAGTCCCGATGAGGAGAGCGTTGCAGTAATCGAGCCTTGAGGAGACGAAGGCATGGACCAGTTGTTCTGCATCTGACAGGGAGAGTGTGGGACGGAGTTTAGCAATGTTCCTGAGGTGGTAGAAGGAGGTTTTGCACAGGTGTTTGATGTGGGTGTCAAAAGTCAGATGTCTGTCAAATCTTACACCCAGGTTGGTAACTGCTGTGGAGAGGGGTATGTTTTGGCCAGAAAAGGTAATGTGGGTTATGGGGGATGACTGGACCTGGTTTGGTGTGCCAACTAAAATAGCTTCTGTTTTGGAGCTATTTAGTTGCAGGAAGTTTTCTCGCATCCAAGCCTTTATCTCCTCAATGCAGGTGTTAAGGGATGTTGATGGGAACGGTGACGATGATGGTGACAGTGACGATGCATGGGGGATAGGGTCTGTCTTTATATATAGCTGCGTGTCATCAGCATAGCAATGGAATGATATTCCATGCCTGCTGATGACACGGCCAAGGGGAAGAGTGTATAGGGTGAACAGAGTGGGCCCAATGACCGACCCTTGAGGGACACCACAGGTGACAGGGTGTGTCTGGGACCTCGCACCTCCCAAGGAGACGTACTCTGTTCTTCCAGACAGGTAGGACTGGAACCAGCTCAGGGCGGAGTCAGAGAGTCCGATGGTGTGTTTGAGGCGCTGAAGGAGGATGTTATGGTCGACAGTGTCGAATGCTGCAGTCAGATCCAGGAGGATGAGGAGAGATGGGGATCCAGTGTCAGCCGCCATCAACAGGTCGTTTGTGACCCTGACCAGAGCTGTTTCAGTGCTGTGGGCGGAACGGAAACCGGACTGGAATTTTTCAAAGAGGCCGTTTAGTTGTAGATGGTCCTGAAGCTGGGCGGCAACTACTTTTTCCAGCACCTTGGCTAGAAATGGGAGGTTGGAGATGGGCCTGTAGTTGGCGAGGACTTAAAGGGGACCTATCATGCAAAATGCACTTTTGTACATCTTTTATACATGAATATGTGTCCCCGGTGTTCCAGGGAACTCACCAAGTGTCAGAAAACACAACCCTCTCTATTTTCCTCCATACCCAAATCTCAAAAAAAGGGGCTGCAACGGATCTGATAAAAACTGATCCAGATTTGAACACTGTCCTGACGTCAGGACAGTGGCGCTACGGCTATTGGGCCAACTCCACCAATCAGGAGGAGACAGCCACGGCCATTGCCGTTCGAAAGCGCTGGAGACGCTGTAGTACATATGCCAGGCCTGTAGATGGTGCTGTTCTCACAGAATCAGCCCTTGCAAAAACAGAGCTAAAAAATGTCAAATTGAGCAAAATGAGGCATGGCTAAAATGCATGATCTGTTTGGTATTTTGAAAAAAAAAATGTATAAATATGCCTTATATAGGTATGGTCCTATACTATATTATTCAAATATAGCATGATAGGTCCACTTTAAGTAACATTTTAATGCAGGATTTTACTTGTAACAGAGTATTTCTACACTCTGGTACTTCTACTTTTACTCAAGTACAAGATCTGAGTACCACCTCTGAAGAAAACTGTTCTACCTATGTGATGTAAGCTTTATATATACAGTTTATGGATGCAAGCAGTGTTAAAGGTCACCTATTATGCAAAATCCACTTGTTCATGTCTTTTCTACATCAACATGTGTCCCCTCTGTGTAAAGAGATTCTGAAGGTTTCAGGAAAAAAGATTCTCTCTCTTTTCGTCCTGATCCATTTATATAAAAACCTGTCTGAAAATGAGCTGATCAGATTTTGGCCACTTTATGATGTCATAAAGATTTTTTGGCTTGTGTAACCATTAGCCAATCACCGGCCAAGGTAACCCCCCCCCCCCCCCCCCCCCCCACCTTCTCACCTGAATCTCCTCCTAGAGCACCACCATAGCCGCGTTCACACCGGAGTACTTTTCACCGTACTTTTGTTCTTTTTAACCAAATACCTCTCAGAAGGGCGTGGGGAGTGGCTCCTTATTTTCATCTAAAGTAACAGACAGAGAATCAGCACTTTTGAATCAGGGCTGACACAGAGGGGATTATGGGATGCTGCAATTATTTGTTTGGTGTTTGGAGCCAAACACTTCAGAGACGTGTTTTGTATCTGAGACCTATAATATATTGATGAAAAACAGTATAATAGGGGACCTTTAAATGTAACCATTTTAGTTTTATTTTGAAAAGCGGAAGTGCTCTTCTTTCCCAAGCTTTTTCATTCATTCTGACTTGACATAGACTTGGTTCATCGAGTGGAAAGTGTCGCTGTGCAGAAACCAGCTAACACGCTCAGCAGGAGATCTGTCAGTCCGAATAAAAAGTGTCTCTGAGACACAGGAGCTTCTCTGGAGTCATCGGGGCTACAAAACCTCTTAATATGACCGAGCTCAGGCACCGTGGAGCCGAAGCACCGATACAAACACAGCCGTCAGAGGACAAGGTAACGGGAAGCTAATGCTAGTTAGCCACATAGCTCTGATGCTCCGCACTGTAAGCATTATTATTCATAATTTGATTATACAACAGGGACAAACATGTAGAATATGTTAGTAGTCCTTTGTGTGTATATGTTATGGAAGTTGAGCAAACATGCTTTTGGCAGCTTGGCCTACTAAAATCAGAGTGATTATTTAGACTTTTGAATATCCTGGGTATATACAATTTTTTTTATAGTAGTGGGGTAGCCTATTAAACATGTACAACCAAGCTTTTGCAAATAACAATAGCCCTTTTAATTGCTAAATATATGGATAATGTCACCGAATGCTAGGAATGGCTGTGGTGTGTGACCTGTAGCTAGAGGGGAAGTTATGTAAATATTGATTTAATTTGTCATTTTGTTGTTGGATACAGTCGATTTAGTAGTAGATTGATTTTAAAGGGGGATGCAAATCCAATGAAATGTGTTGTACAAATCATCCGCCAAACTACTCTCATTTTAAACCTGATTGGTAGACGCTTCTTCCTGGGTGTGGGACGTGGTGAAAACAACAGGCAAAACAAATAGAAATTACATCAATTTTAAGTCTGCTTTCTTTATCATCTACATGCCGATGTGTAGAATTGCTTTTCTTGTAACGATGTTCAATTGAGTTGAAGCAGTGTTTTTGTTTCATGAAGAGCTAAATATGAACAATTTGATGGATGTTTTGCAGTGAGCAAATGACAGGGTGTTGCATCACACAAAGGGTTGAAATGGCCTCAAGCTAAAATATGTTGAAGACTGTAATTTGATCTTAATTACATGTATTTCTCCAACAAAGTCATCTGTTTACTCAGCTGCCTCTAAACAAACAAGGCTCACATACTTCTTTATGCTAGTGTAGCATTAGCTTAGCTGCTAAATCAATAACAACTGCTTCAGGCATTCTGCTGTCTGTAACAGGATATTAAAACGCTCTTGTTCTACTGAAGGAAAACTAAATGCATTATTGTGTGTTGGACAACATTATGTTCCAGTAAATGCCATGGTGGTGATGTGATGGGCGTTAGGATCCATAATCCAGAACAAGAGGACATGATTACAGATAATTGCAGAACAGCTAAAAGCAGTAAGTGGGCCATTAGCTACATCCAGACCATAAAACCTCATAGGGCAGATTTAAGGAATGGTTATAGACTAGAGGCCACTCAGCCCTCAAAGAGCTGTAACCTTCATGCTTTGGTTGATTGTCTTCTGATCGTATTGTGTTTTAAAGCAGCCCAGCAGTGAGTAGTCAAAGACGCTGCCTTTGTGCTCCTAATCAGTTCATCCCATTCACAATTAGGTATAGTGATATCTAGATCACATCACTACTATTAAAGATAAGAAAAGTCTAATATTTGTTCCACAGAAGAGACATTTGCCGCGTTACAGCAGCAAAAGGGGACAATGCATCTACAAGACGAAAGAAGAACAATACCTTATTTAACAGTAAATACATAATAATTAAGTAATTAAACAGTGACAAAAAAGCAAAAATATTATAGTCGAAAGTGGGTTAAATGTGGGTTATTCATATCATTGCACATATAACATTATTATTATTCATTATTGTTTTAAAGAGGTGTTAACTCACAAACCTGATTTCATATATCACATCTCTTTGGGTTCATTTAAACAAAAAAACAACATATAAATTCAGTATGATCTTGTTTATTACATTTGAACTTTTATACCAAAATAGAAAGTTCATCCAGTGTAAGTACCTTATGCCTTTTTTTGTCACTATTTAATAAAGTAAAGCTAGAAATGCAGGCATCTGAACCTTACATGTCTAAACTCAATACATCTGAGATAATCTGAAGCTGATTTCACATAATACCACCGCGTAAAGCACAGTCTCTCCAGCTATATCCTGTGTAAACACAACATCCTGGATTTAAAAACCCCCCGAAACAAACAGGTTATCTTGACACTAAGGCGCCGTTTACACGAGGAGAAAACTGCTTGTATCTGCATAGTTTCGCGTGCGTATAGCCCTATTATTTACACGAGGCCGATAGAAACTGACCCCACAAACGATAACGGGTCCCAAGGTGGATAGATTTGCAAACTAAACGCTCTGGGGGGTCAACCGAGTCCGTGTAATCACCTCTATACGAATATTTCCTGAAAAAATTGCGATAGCCCCACCTCTCCCCACCTCTCCTGCTCACTGCTGTAGCAACTATCAAAAATAGCTGTGTTAATTAAACGCACAAGGGGTTCTTGAATGAAATAATATTATAAAAGGCAAACCAGAATAGTTAACGCCCAATATACTCCTTAAACAAAATAAACAGAGTCAGATTTCATGCATTGATCCATTATATTGACAAAGGAGGATCTCACCCGGTGTTTGTAGAGAATATCTCTCTTTTCTGAGCGGGTCCTCTCCACGGAGACGTCGGTCGATGCAATATCCACAGATTCGGTTTCTTTCAGTTAACTTCCCCGTAGCATTTATCCATATGCTGAGGAAATGACTATATCCCGCTGAATACCAGCAATCGCCACACACACCTGTCAGTAGCTACTGCTAGTGCTACTGCTACTGACCATGCTACAGATATTAGTGCAAAAATATACAGCTCCTCTACCACAACCATCAGCAACAAGTGGACATGGAGAATTACATGAACTACATGTTGCTAAATACACCGCGGGGCATGAACAGAAGGGTAGCCATGGCAACATTGCGGCGGGGGCTGCTGGGCTGCTCTTCTTCGCTACTTTTGGTGTATTTTGGCGGAAGTTACAGCGCCACTTACAGTCCCGGCATATGTACTACAGCGTTTCCAGCGGTCTCGTTTGAACAGACACGTTAAATGAAACGAATGCATGTGAACGGAAGACTTTTTTGAATACGCATACTGTGCATAAACGCAAACGTTCCCGTGTGAGCGGGGCCTAAGGCTGCAGCCACACGAAAACGGTAACGGTCGTATCCGCTACAATCCTCTATCATATAGACGGTTCGGCCACATGAGGCCAACAGGGTCGATAACGGGTCCCAAGGTGGGTAGATCTGTGGACGCAACGCTCTGGGGGGCCGAACGGCTCTGTGATTACGCCTATACGATCATTTCCTGATAACGTTGAAGCAATAGCCCCGCCTCTCCTGCTCAGAGATCAGCTGCTGGGCTGTCAGAAGAGGGGGAGGAAAAGAGAGGCTCCGTTTTTTATTCTTATATTATTATATAGAGTCGTTATCAATTTGTTTTAAAGCTCAATAAATTACAAAGAAGACCTTTGACCGGCACTTTTCTAATTTTGTCCGGAAGATTTAAACTTTAACGGACATGTTGACCGGCGGAAAAAAAAATCTAACGGAAACTCTGCTGCACGGTCCCCTCGTCCCTTGGAAGAGGCGGAGAGGTGGGTGTTTTTCATCTGCTGGTGGACTACCGGAGAGATTTACAGCAGGAGCACACGCTTGCCTCGGGGAGGGAGAAAAAGAGCCAGAGCGTCCACAGCGGAGAATAAACAGAAGAGCAACCATGGCAACCATGCGCGGGAAGTCTTCTTCGCTGCTTTTGGTGTATTTTGTGGCAGAAGTACAGCGCCACTTACAGGCCCGGCATATGTACTACAGCGTCTCCAGCGCTTTCGAGTGGTCTCGTGTGAGAGGACACGTTTCTGGTGCCTGTTGCGTGTGGACGGAAGACTTTTTTGATATCGAATTCGGTTTGTTTGCGTTACGGTTCTCGTGTGGCTCCAGTCTAACTTGCCCCTTCACCGAGTAAATGCTAGAGCAGGGATTGTGTACGAGAGACCTATTTGAATTTGGAAATGCAGGCAAATAGTGAATTGTCATGTGGTTTAGCTGAGGGAGAACCACAAGCAATCACTAAAAAATAATCAGATACAAATATAAAGTGTATTCCTGCAGGGAACACAACCTTTCTACTCGACCCCCTTTTTCTAAAATGATGTAAAAAAAGGGTTTAATCTATTCTGGCCCTGCTTTGACCTTTTTATCTGGATCAGCTTAGGAAATAAGGATGGCATTAGTTTTGGTAACTTGTATTATGGATTGCATAAATATGGGTAGACTGAAATGCAGGTGACACATTTTATGAATGAGTTACACTATGATCAAACCTTTGAACGTTATGTTCACCATTTTTGGATATCTTTGTGGTGCATCATCTGGTCGTGTACATTTCTAATTATAGACATTTATTGTGTGCAAGTCAGGCGATGTCCGGAAGTCTACTTTTTAAAAATGTCTATCTGAACACGTGTGGTTGTCAGCTATTCAAAACAGTTGCTATGAAATATTTGTGCCTGTAAACCCATAGCTGAGAAGATGAATCACCAATCTCCTCTTTTGCTTTATGCTTTATTTTCTGAAAGACATCTGTACATAAAATAAAGCCTAAACCAGATTAAAAAATGACCTGTGCTCCTGATCCTTTCACAGCCTGCAGATTTAGCTCTTTCTAATGAATTGGAGACACTCAGTGTTGACGCTGATGACCAGGAAGCATGGAAGGGGAGGAGTGTTTGTGTGAAAAAAGCGGCTATTTTTAACTCGAGCATCCTGAGTGACGGACATTGTTTCCATAGAAACCAGTAGGCGGAAAATTAGTCTCTATGTGTGTGTGTTTCGCTTTGCCTGGACTTAGTGTGTTTCATATAATATAAGGAGATTAAATCTTCCAAATCTATGAAAATGTACAGTTTTAGTTTTTTTTGGCTGAGTGGATCCAGAGGGAATTGGCAGCCTAAAGAATGGGTGTTTTTCTCAGGGACACTCTAACAATGGTGGACACACACTGACTGTTGCAGCTGTTAAAGTGACAGTAATATACACAAGAGAGTAAACTGAATCCGTATGGCAGGATGTCATTGCTACAAAAACATCTTTATAATGAAATAAATGTCTAGTTTTAATGCGATCGTCAGTCACTTTACAACCTATTTCTTGTAACATTCTTTTCCTTTTTTATTAATATGTTGATTTTGAGCAATATATGTTGTGATACGGACTATAAAAGTAGTTTGACAAAAAAATGATCGCCAATCAATGATATAAACAATACATTTTGACAAAAAGTAGAACAAATGCAGCTTTAAGCCTCTGAAATATGGAGGTTTCCCGCTTCTCTCTGTGTCATATCATAATAAAGTGAATATTTGTATGAGTTGCCTGACATAACAAGACATTTAAAGACATCACTTTGGACTTTTTAAACTGAGATTCACAGTTTTCACAGTTTTTGGACATTTTAGAGAGCAAATGATTATTTCATGAATATAGAAACTATTAGCCAGATTAAACATGAATGGAAATCGTTGTTATGTTGGCATTCCTTGTTGTGATGTATTTTTTTAAGCCTATTTTAGAAAGAAACATGTTTCCAAGAAATGTACCGTTGTTGCTTTTGCTGTAAGACATACTACAAAGGTCTGTCATTCATACAGAAAATATCCAGCAGCAGTAATGTCGAGGTGTTTAGATGTTAAACTGTGAGACTCAAACAGCACGCAGACCATCTGCTGTGAAGTGAGAACTCAGAGCCTAATTTGGTCAGCAGCAGCAGAGAGGTCTGTGGGGGGGAGAAAAGTGGGAAGGACAAAATGACCTCAAAGTGTGTGTGTGTGTGTGTGTGTGTGTGTGTGTGTGTGTGTGTGTGTGTGTGTGTGTGTGTGTGTGTGTGTGTGTGTGTGTGTGTGTGTGTGTGTGTGTGTGTGTGTGTGTGTGTGTGTGTGTGTGTGTGTGTGTGTGTGTGTGTGTGTGTGTGTGTGTGTGTGTGTGTGTGTGTGTGTGTGTGCTGTGTGTGTGTGTGTGTGTGTGTGTGTGTGTGTGTGTGTGTGTGTGTGTGTGTGTGTGTGTGTGTGTGTGTGTGTGTGTGTGTGTGTGTGTGTGTGTGTGTGTGTGTGTGTGTGAGAGCATAGAATAGAATATATATGCATTGTGGATAAAGTGGTATGCATAGGGTGTTAAATGACTGGACTAAATAAGCTTTGACAAGAAGGACCATAAAAGGGTTTCTCTCAAAAAAAATGTTTTTACAAGATGACCTTTTTAATTCAAGTGTGAATGGGATGTTCAATTAAATATAAAATGAACAGTGTAGGTTTTCAATTACTTTCTGCAGCCTCATATCTTTATTAAATGTCGTATTTCTTCCTCTTCGTCAGGGTTCAGACAGCGAGCTGAGGTTCGAGAAAGATGGAGCGTCAGATGGAGAGTCGAAGGTGCCGGCCCCTGCTGATGACACCCCAGAGGTTTTAAACAAGGCCCTCTCTGGACTCTCCTCAAGGTACTATCACTGACTGTTAAAGGTCTCCTATTATACTGTTTTTCATCAATATATAATAGGTCTCAGATATATACAAACATGTCTCTGAAGTGTTTGTCTGAAACACCAAACAGATCATTGCAGCATCCCATAATCCCCTCTGTTTCAGCCCTGTTTCCAAAGTGCTGATTCTCTGTCTGTTACTTTAGATGAAAATAAGGAGCCACTCCCCACGCCCCTCTGAGAGATATTTGGTTAAAAAGAACACAATGGTGCTCAAGGAGGAGATTCAGGTGATAAGGTGGGGGGGGGTTACCTTGGTTGGTGATTGGCTAAAGGTTACACAAGCCCAAAAAACTTTATGACATCATAAATGTCTCCCTTGAAAGAGATCAATGATCTCAATGGGATACACCTGGATAAATAAAGGTTTGAAATGAAATGAAATAAAGTGGCCAAAATCTGATCAGCTCATTTTCAGACAGGTTTTTATATAAATGGATCAGGACAAAAAGAGAGAGAATCTTTGTTCCTGAAACTGTCAGAATCTTTTTACACAGAGGGGACACATGTTGATGTAGAGAAGACATGAAGAAGAGGGGACACATGTTGATGTAGAAGAGACATGAAGAAGAGGGGACACATGTTGATGTAGAAAAGACATGAAAAAGGGGATTTTGCACAATAGGTGAGCTTTAAAGGGAAAAACATATTGCTGGGTTTTGTTTGTAATTTAAATAAAATATGATCTTGAAGCAAGGTGTTCAGCCTGCTCAGTGATGTAAAATTGTCCAGCATAGAATATAAAAATAGCTATTTGACTTAACGCCTTTTATCTAAAGAGCTACTCTTGGTTACGGGTCATACAGTGAGTCACTACATTGCTTTGTATAGAGCTACAGGCCCATGTTTTTCCTGAATCTAACAGCAGTGGTGTCATGATTCACACACAGGATTCCTTCCTCACACAGTGGATGTGACTCACTGAACTTGACCCTCTATTCCCGGTAGAAACATTATTAACCCTCCCATTGTCTTCGTTTCCCCCCCTTACTTTTGGTAAAATCGCAACATCTGCAAGAAACAGCGTCTGAGGGCTTCTTAACATTTAAAAACCTATTAATGCGTCATACCCACTTAACGGGAAGAAACTCAGCTATCAGACAATATTAACAATTTTTAGCAAAACGAAACATAAGGGTAATAACAAAGGCTCTGAATTAGCCCTGAGCGAAAAAATGCTAACACACTTAGCACAGAACTCACATTAAAATACCCTTATTACTTATCGTATCTGCACAAACAAGATATCGATTAGCAAACTGAGATTGCACAGATTCGACAGGTATTAGTATCATTACTGACCGATCCGAACTCTCGACATGAGAAGCTAACAAAGACATCACACCACGTAGCATTAGGTAGCCAACACGGCAATATGTCTTACCTTTGTTGTTTTCTGATCAAAAGTTGTGTTCAATGGCATTAAAACGATAAAAACCCTGCTGAAGGGTAATCCATAGGTTAATCCAATGTCTGTGTCACTTTGAAATGATTTCTGATAATCCATCAGCAATAAATCTAGTTTTCAGTTTTCAGATTTCAGAGCGTAAGATAGGTTTCGCTTTGGGCAAACTACGTGCGCATAGCTCTCATTTCTCAATGGTAGCGTGTGTGTGCATGTGGAAATTCCCCTTCGATTCTATTGGCTCTAACGGTTCAAAATAGATGTCAATCATCAAAATCGACCAATGGGTTCCAGAGAAATGGCAAATACACCCATTTCCACCCAAATGACCCCAGAGGTGTTTTTTTTTGTTGCTAAACCTCTCTTAAAAGGTCAAATGTCACTTGTTTTGCATCAATCTTGATACAGGGTACTTATTATATGTTATAGTTTGGATTCCTAAAGCTTTAGTCTACTATCCCATCATTCAAGGGTGGTTTTCACTATAAGTAATGGTTTATTTTTGGACGGACACAATGATTTATATTTTCAACTCACAGGTGTATCATTGCTTTGAGAAAAAAGATTATTAATTTTCCCCTTTTAGAAGTGAAGATATAGTCATTTGTTCTGGGCATGTCATTTTTGAGCCTGAGACCTGAAAAACAGGCTTGGGGCTTAACAGGTTAACACCCTTTCAAACTGTAAATATTGTATCAGACTACTGGTATACATGAAAAACTGCAGTAAATATACAAAGAATAGACACAGAACATGTATTGCGTGTGCCAGGTGTGATACATGTGGGGGGATGGGCACATAAGGTGTGTGTGTGTGTGTGTGTGTGTGTGTGTGTGTGTGTGTGTGTGTGTGTGTGTGTGTGTGTGTGTGTGTGTGTGTGTGTGTGTGTGTGTGTGTGTGTGTGTGTGTGTGTGTGTGTGTGTGTGTGTGTGTGTGTGTGTGTGTGTGTGTGTGTGTGTGTGTGTGTGTGTGTGTGTGTGTGTGTGTGTGTGTGTGTGTGTGTGTGTGTGTGTGTGTGTGTGTGTGTGTGTGTGTGTGTGTGTGATGTGTGTGTGTGTGTGTGTGTGTGTGTGTGTGTGTGTGTGTGTGTGTGTGTGTGTGTGTGTGTGTGTGTGTGTGTGTGTGTGTGTGTGTGTGTGTGTGTGTGTGTGTGTGTGTGTGTGTGTGTGTGTGTGTGTGTGTGTGTGTGTGTGTGTGTGTGTGTGTGTGTGTGTGTGTGTGTGTCATTTTTAATCCACTTCCTTTTGTAAAGTCTACTACTGCTAAATGTATTGTTTACTAACCAGTTATGTTAACTTGTAAAAGAACTATGAGATGCATGTGCATAATAAAAAAGAAAATGTGTGTGTTTCCTTTTAAGATGGAGGAACTGGTGGGTCCGAGGCATCCTCACGCTAGCCATGATCTCCTTCTTCTTCCTCATCATCTACCTGGGCCCCATAGTGCTTATGATGATTGTGAGTACAAAACTGATGGTGCCGTGCAAAACCCTCAGACTCCTCCAGAGTTACCTTACAGAGAATATGTTAGAAAAGTGACTTCCAACCAGTGCTGAAAAAGAGGTGTAAGACTTGTGTCGTAGCAGCTTTAAAATCAGCTGTGGTCTAGAGAGAATAATCAGTTAGGTAACAAACGTACAGCAACACAATATTCGTATTAAAGGCAATAAAGATCTTTATACTTTCAAGTATGACGTCCCTTCCAACGGAGAACGTACTGTTCCGAGTGAAACAGGCTCTCTTTATAAGAGGACATCACAAAGCAGATTTACATTACAACAACATTCTGGGAGGCCAGCTGATACCCCCTCTGTATCCCCTCTGCCCTATATTAAAGGTACAGGCACATTTTCTCCATGAGCTGTACAGTGTTTTAGACATTCAATATTTTCTCTCTGCTGCACGTTCAGTTGACTTCCAGCACATAAATGTAAATTGTTATCTCATGACATTAAATGACATCTTGTAATAGCATGCAAGATCTCTGCATATGGGAATTCCCTGAAGATAGGCCTGTCAGCCATTTTGTGTCACTAGGGTACCAGGACATATTCTCACACACACACACACACACACACACACACACACACACACACACACACACACACACTTCTGAAGCCCCACTGTTTCTCCGTGTGTAGGTCCTCTTTGTTCAGATAAAGTGCTTCCAGGAAATCATCACCATTGGCTACAGTGTGTACCACTCCTACCACCTGCCCTGGTTCAGGACGTTGAGCTGGTGAGACACACACACACGCACACGCACGCACACACACACACAAAATGGTGTGTCATGAACATTGCATATGTGCTTCCATCTTATTGTGTTGTCTTGCTTTTTTGTTTTGTTGCAGACTTCCTGAGGTTTGTTTACTGACCTGATTACATTTGGTTTAGATTGTAGATTATTAATCCAATCAGCAAAAATGGCAAAGATTGTGAATTATCAGAGCTGTGATTTTAGTGGAGATGCACCGATCGAAGTGGCCGATCATTTAAATACAACATGATTATTTTACATCATATCCAGGCAAACACACACACCATGTCATCGGTGTAGAATTTTTTCAGTGCGAGCAACGAAGACCTAAAGCTTCTGATTCGTAACACCGGCAGGACCTTGGAGGAAAAGACTTAATGAGACACTTCAATAATATATTGCAAATCATTCCCATGCCTGCTGCTCAAAGTAATCAACATATAATACACACACCTTTACTTTTGTGTAAATAGATACTGACTTATACATATTTTTGTATAATTAAGTAGTTAAACTGACACATAAATCAATAATAAATAGGGGAGAGTCTTTAATAGGTGAATCAGGGGGTCAGCAGTTCAATCCCACCTCCTGACAACATGTGAAGAGTCCTTGGGAAAGATACTTAACCCTAAATTGCTCCTGTAGGCAAGTCTTCATTGTTAAATTATATGAAGGTCACTGAAAGCGTCAGATATATAATATGTAATGTAATAAAAGGCAGAAACAGTACAGAGTAATATTTGTATCAGATGTTTCTCTTATAATTATGAACATTACATTTAATTGTCACCAAGAAAAGTTACACAAATGTTTGTCTATGCTTTCAATTATAACAGTGACTTGGCTGGTGTGACTTTTATATGACATTTCCATCGGTGCATCTTTATTTCTTAGCTTTAGTGGTGTACACTAGTTTGATAGATAATCCTGACATTCCCTATGCCTTCAGCAGAAAAACCTAAACTCTCTTCTTTGACAAAACATTAGTAAAATGCAGTGAGATGAGTCGGTGAGTTCATTAACATGGCCTCACTGGTTTTTCTGCAGGCATACTGAATGTCTGATATGCTGCTGGTGTGAAGCCTTGAAACATGAACATGTCTTCCACCCCACAGGTACTTCCTGCTGTGTGTCAACTACTTCTTCTATGGTGAAACCGTGACGGACTGCTTCTTCACTCTGGTGCAAAGAGAGGAGCCGCTTCGCATCCTCAGCAAATATCACAGATTTATCTCCTTTGCCCTCTACCTCACAGGTACAAACACTGACAAGCCTGGGGAAAATATAGCTATAGTTATAACATCTGTCCACATGTCGGCGTGTTAGAGGGATCAACTTAAAGGTCCAAAGACTTGGATTTGTCTAACTTGGCACAGGGGTTATGGAGCCAGTGTGTGATAAGCCAATCTCAGATTCACCCTTTATTTTTGAAAAGAAATGCAAGGGTCCCCAAACTGCTTCCCCTTAATGTTGACAATTGAAATGATCAGTTTGCAATTTTGCAACGGGTTCATGCAATTTATTCTTGGAGAATTCTTTTTTTTTTTTAAGCCATGCCCATCAATAGAGCTCTTTGAATATGTGAAGGTAGATTTGAAAAGTCATCTGAGCATCTAAAGAGAACCAAGTCTCTTAAAATGTAAATCAATTGTTGTCAGAATGAATAAACGAGTGTGCAGTTCCAACATAAAGGCAACAAGCTACAATCATTTGACTTTCATTTGACATTCATTGCAGTTTTGAAAAGACATTTTTATTGAGGTAAAAGCAAAATGAGAGTAAAGGCAGAAAACAGAGGCAGAGTGTTAACCTCATAGTAGGTAACAAGTGATGATTAGGAGAGATTATTAGTGTATGAGTCGAAACTTTTTGTTGTTGTTGAAGAAATCTTACTCTGTGCCTATTTCTGGAATAGCTTGTTTTTTCTATTTTGAAAGTTAAGTGTCCTTGCATAGTACAACTGTGCCGGCTAAGCAGAGAGGAAGTGACATGTGGTGTACCACTCACACTTTTATCACTTTGACCAAACTCCAGCCACACACATGATCACTTTCTACTGGATAGTTGCATTAAGGCCTTGTCTAAATATGCCACAGTGCAAAGGTCCTTGGCGTCAGAGTTTAACATTTTATCAAATGAAATCACTTAACTTAATGTGGGCAGATAAGAAGTGCTTTTTCACATGGTAAAGGATATAGAGTGTATATATATAATGATCAACCTACTGTTTAAACTGTCATTTGCTAATTAAATTGTCAATATTGTATCCGAACGTCTTAGTTTTGTCAACTCGAAAAACTGAATGAATTCTGTTAATCCAGCGTTGAATACCAACATTTAGAATATCCTTTATGAACATAATAACCCTAAAAGTGGGTTATTTTAGGCTCTGTGCAAACTGAAGAAGTCCCACTTCCTGTCTGCAGGTTGTCAGTTGGTAATTCAGTTCTGCTGCAACTGAACAGGAAGTGAGGAGGAAGGAAGCACCTTGATTGTCGCTGCCTTTTGCCTTCTATGTTCACACTGAATGGGCCGGCTTTGATGATCATTTTGCCACACCTTGAAGTGCCAGAAAATGCATACATCTGCAATCATATGTAGATTCTTTTAAAACCTTGAAGCGTCCTTCTTCCTCGGGTGTAAACTATGTCTGCTTTAACTTCTTCTTCCCAGTAAAAGCACTTTTTCGTCTCTTCTATGCAACATCCTCTTCTAAGCTCAGTCTTGTACAAACCTCCTCTCTGCACATTTACTCAGGGCTTTGTCTGAAATAGGTCAAGCTAAATTTAGATGAGTTGGAACAGAGATGAACATAATTCTGACTTAATTAACCCCCCTCTCTTTCACAGACCAGGTTATATCAACATTTTTAACGCAGCATGTGTTGTTGCAGGTTTCTGCATGTTTGTGCTGAGCTTGGTGAAGAAGCACTACCGCCTGCAGTTCTACATGGTGAGTGGCAACCTGGAGGCTCCTGGGTTATTGATGAGGCGAGATGAAATACAGGCCCTCAAGTGTGTGTAGAAGAGGGCTGGAGATTGCTCTAATAAATTGTCTGGCATACAGTCATTAAATATGTGTCAAGCAGAAAAATCAGTGCCTGTTCAATCAAAGGGAAAGCAATCATCTAAGACAACATCTGTGATATGGATTAGATCAACAAGACACATCAATCCTGTGATCTTTGGTCCTAATCCAGGCTCTATGTTCACAGAGAGAAGGATATTACAGTGTTTGTAAAAAGAAAAATGTAAATTATGCAGCCAGTGGAAGGGTGTCCAACCTTGCAAGTGAAGCAATAACAAAGTAATAAAAAAAACGTAATTCTTTTTTTTCAATGCAGGAATTAATTAATTTTTGTTGTTGTTAATGCCTGATTTTTTTTCTTACAAATCTCAGAGAATACCCACCTTTTTTAAAACAATTTCATCTTGCTTATTTTCCTTACTCTCATTACCCTCCTCCCCTTCAAAAAAAATCAAATCAAATCAAGTTTTATTTATAAAGCACATTTAAAAGCGATTTTTGGTCGAGCCAAAGTGCTGTACATGTAATAAAAACACATTACTACAATCACAATAAAAGACAATAAATTACAACAGATATATTTTAAAAAAATTAAAAAAATAAAAAAACACAAGGAAAAGTCAGGAGTCGTGCTCCGCTCTAACTAGAAGGCCAGAGAGAAGAAGTGTGTTTTTAGTTTAGATTTAAAAACCCCTAGGGTCTGGGCCGACCTCACATGGAGGGGCCTGGGGCCAGCTGCTGCGAAGGCTCGGTGCCCTCGGGTTTTGAGCCTGGTCTTGGGCACTACCAGCAGCAGCTGGTCAGCAGACCTTAAAGCTCTGGCTGGGGTGTAGCGCTGGAGCAGTTCAGCTATATAGGCCGGAGCCAGCCCATTTAGTGCTTAAAAACAAATAAAAGGATTTTAAAATCAATTCTGAACCGAACTGGAAGCCAGTGTAGTGAGGCCAGAATAGGGGTGATGTGGTCACGCTTTTTGTGGCCAGTCAGCAAACGTGCAGCAGCGTTTTGGACTAGCTGTAGGCGTTTAATTGAGGCCTGGTCCATACCTACATACAGAGCGTTGCAATAGTCCAGTCTCGAGGTTACAAAGGCGTTAATAACCCTTTCTAAGTCATTAAAAGATAAATACGACTTGGTTTTGACCAATAGTCTTATTTAAAAAAAGCAGGATTTGACTACGGTGCTGACCTGCTTGTCGAATTTAAAAGTGCTAGTGAAGGTCACTCCAAGGTTCATTTTGAGAGAGCCCAGAATATCAACCGGAGAGGCTGGAGGTTGGGGTCCAAAAAAGATGACCTCAGTCTTGCTCTCGTTGAGGTTGAGAACGTTTTTCCTCAGCCAGGATTTTATCTCTGTTAAGCAGTCCATCAACTGCTGTAGTGAGTGTTTGACATTTGCTTTGAGAGGCAGATAGATCTGTACATCGTCGGCGTAGCAGTGGAAGGGAATATTATGTTTTGTGAGAATTGAACCTAGGGGCAGTATGTACAGTAGAAAAAGGATGGGGCCCAGAATCGAGCCTTGGGGAACCCCACAGGTAAGAGGGGCTTTGGCAGAGGAGAAGGCACCTAGCTGTACCGAGAAGCTACGGTCTGTCAGGTAGGACCTGAACCATGCAAGTGCAGAGCCTGTGATGCCAGCGGGACTGTTCAAGCCGTGACAGCAGGATGCTATGGTCCACAGTGTCAAAGGCAGCTGTCAGGTCTAACAGCACCAAGACAGCTGGGCTACCTGAGTCGGCGGCTAGGAGCAGATTATTAAAAACTCTTAAAAGGGCTGTTTCAGTGCTGTGCATGGGTTTGAAGCCAGACTGAAACTTTTCATGGATTCCATGGATGGTTAAAAAAGACTGCAGCTGGGCGTAGACTACTCGCTCCAGGGCTTTTGATAAAAAAGGTAGCTGGGAGATGGGCCTAAAATTTGCGAGAATGGAAGGGTCGAGATTTTTCTTTTTAAGGAGTGGCTTAACCACGGCATGTTTGAAGGCAGCTGGGACACATCCTGAGCTAAGAGAGGTGTTTAAAAGTAATAAAATACTTGCTCCAACTGAATCAAAAACATCACTGAGAAGGCGAGAGGGAATGCTGTCTGAGGTGCCGTTTGTCGGCCGCAGGTGCTTGACTACATCCGAGAGAGAAGAGAGGGATACAGGCTCAAAGTGGTCGAGGACAGCAGGGCACAGAAAAGGAGCAGGATCTGGGGTAGCACTAGTGTGGGCTAGCCTAAGAGCAGATACTTTTTCAATAAAAAATGTAAGAAACTTATCACAGAGTAGTCGATGGGACAATAGAAGAAACATCACAGGGATTAATGATAGAGTTGAGGACATTAAAAAGAACCTGAGGTTTATGGCTGTTTTTGGAGATGAACAGAGAAATGTGCTCTGTTTTGGCTGCTTTGACTGCCGTCTGGTAGTCAGAAAGGCAAGCACGAAGGATTTCTAGGGAGACATGGAGTTTATCCTTTTTCCATTTTCTCTCTGCACGCCTGCAAGCGCGTCTGAGAGCACGAGTACAGTCATTGAGCCACGGCTCAGATAGAACTTTGGTGCGTCTAAGCGTCCCTTCTCTTTAATTTGATTTAATTTGGCCCTAAAACACTGCTGATAATGGAAAAAACCGTGTCAGTGGAATGTATGAATTAATATATATTAATTATGGAGCCTGAGGTTTACAAAAACACAGCTCTTAATGTTAAATAGGATACACTGCCTTCAAACACATTTTGAATTTAATCAAGCTAATATCCTTTTCAGCTAAATCCCATCTCAGTGTAGTCTCCGCAGACAGTAATCCCTATGGGTGTTGTTCCACCATCAAATCTATCAATACATATTTGGAACAAGGACCCTTAGTCATGAATATAATTGGGTTAATTGTCAGACAAATGATTGTATACATATTTTCCTAATGATGTTTTGTCTCCACAGTTTGGTTGGACTCATGTGACTCTGCTGATCGTGGTGACTCAGTCTCACTTCATCATTCACAACCTGTTTGAGGGGATGATCTGGTAAATAAACAGTCCTTTATCATCTTCACATAGATTAAGCTTCAACTTAATAGTTTCTTAAGTTACTGTCTTTAAAAAGACACAGTTTTACGATTTCAATAAACTTGAACATTTTTCACATTTTCATATTATACTCACACTGGGCCTCATTGCATTTCAATAAAAAAAAACTGCACCTACTATGTTTACCGTGTTTATGGCTAGAAAAATCCAAATACATGCCGCTTGTTTTACAAAACTTGTTTTCTCTAAGTCTCTTATTTATGAGTCTCATGTTAACTCTTCTCTTCTCAGGTTCATTGTGCCAATTTCCTGTGTGATCTGTAACGACATTATGGCCTACATGTTTGGTTTCTTCTTCGGGCGCACCCCTCTCATCAAGGTTGGTTGCATATTATTGTTTTCCCTATTTTCAGAACTATTAATGCAAGCAACAGATGTTCAGCCTGTGTTTCATCAATAAAACTCACGTGTTTCTAGTAAATGAAAACCCAATTTTGTAAGTATCACTTAGTTTTTGTCTGGAGTCTGGAAATTGACTCTTGTTATGTTACTCCACTCCAGAGAATATGAACGTTTTATGACATCATTTTAGGTATTTCTCCATAATATTAGCTCCTTGTTCTTGTTCTTGTTTACTTATCGGCAGTCAGTGTTTTATTGACACATTTCATGGACACTTTAAAAGTGTTGTTTGGTACATGGTGATGTATTAACCTGCTATTTATACATTCACTGTCCTCTGCAGCTTTCACCTAAGAAGACATGGGAGGGATTCATCGGTGGATTGTTCTCCACCATAGTGTTCGGCATCATGGTAAGAGTTATAGAGAATCCTGAGTTTTGTCGTTTTTGGACGTGTTTTTCTATCTTAGAAAAGTCTAGTATTATTAGTTAGATAATGCAGCACAAATGCCCAATATCGCTATATAAATGAAAATTACACTTTAATTAGATCCTTGTTGGCACATGGTACAGCTTTTCAACAAGCTTCATTAAAATCGGTAGACAGAAAAAATGAGCGTAAAATCCTAACATCCTGGCTGTTTCACTGAGATGTGCAACATCTAAATAAAGTTTGTTATGGTAGCTCTGAATTATTAAACACTGTACATGTTGTAGCTTTTCTTCCCGTTATGTCTGTCATCATTTGACAGTGAAACAATATTTATAATAAAAAAATCAGAGGCAGCATGCAGTAACTGAAACTTGCTCTCCCCCAGCTCTCCTACGTGATGTCCGGCTGGCGTTACTTCGTCTGCCCGGTGGAGTTCAACAACGACTCCAACCGGTTCCAGGTAGACTGCGAGCCGTCGGAGCTTTTCCAGCTGCAGGACTACACCCTGCCCTCCTTCCTGGAGTCCTTCACCGGATGGGTAAGACCCTCCTGACCTTCATCTGTCCTTCCTTTTCTGGCATCACAAGTCATATAAACATTCATGTAACTATGAAACAATAAAATCACTATATTGCAAATCCAGTAAGCCAAAAAACAAGAGGGATCCGTAATATTTGTAGAATAATGTATTTGTGTAGCAACCTTTCAAACACTTTGGAAGCTATAGAAAAATATAGACGTTTATTCTTAACAGGTCAAACATTACATGTTGCAAACTCAAAGCTTATTACATTTATGTCAGGACCTAGCCTGTAGTTTCAGCTAGTTGTAATTGTGTCAGCTATGTTATTTAGTTGTGATCCTGTGTTACTCATTAAGTAAAGTTCAAATATATCTAAATGTTGTTTCTAGAGTACACATTAACAGAACCGAAGTCCTGTTTAACACCAGGTTTTTATCATACGTTTCAACCTCATTATATTTTTCTCCGCCAGGTTTGATTTTGATACTAAAAGCCTGGGGATGCAAGTCCTATTTTAGCCAAAGCACTAGTAACTAGTTTAGTTTGATTGAACTGCTGGTCTCTGTTTCAGTCTGACACATGTTCCTTGTCTCCGCAGACCACGGTGCGTCTGTATCCGTTCCAGATCCACAGCATCGCCCTCTCCTCCTTCGCCTCCATCATGGGACCCTTCGGAGGATTCTTCGCCAGCGGCTTCAAGAGAGCCTTCAAGATCAAAGTATGGATTTCTGACACGTTTGTTTACTTCAAAACACTCCAACTATCCCTTTTAATGTCTGTTGTCTTTGCTCCATTTATATTATACGCATAGCAGCAGTCTGATCACATGTACTGTTGTGTGTTCTTCCAGGATTTTGCCAACACGATCCCGGGTCACGGTGGCATTATGGACCGGTTCGACTGCCAGTACCTCATGGCAACATTTGTTAACGTCTACATTGCCAGCTTCATCAGGTAAACACACTGCTATGGTTTGTTGATATGTTTTATAACCTAATTAGCAATGTACAGTGATCAGTGGCGTTTTTATATGTACAAAAGTGGTGGGGCACGAACAACTTGGATGTGTATATATAAGCTTCTGGTACTTTTTTAAACACGTAAACAAATAACTTTTCGCGCCACACGTACTTACAGCCAATCAGCTCTCTGAATTATGAGATGACGTTTGGTGGGTATGGCAGCACAGTGCCCATATGGTGATTATTTTTTTGCCGCACACATTGAATAGAAAAATACTCTAAGCACGCCAGTGTAGTTTTTACAGTACACGTTCATTTTGACAGCAGAGAGAGGGGCTTGCCCCACATCGCTACCGGGCCTTCTAGAGCAGTGGTTCTCAACTGGTCAGGCCTCGGGACCCACTTTTTCCTTTGTCAATAAATCGCGACCCGACATTTTGAACCACTCATATCTATTCAACAAGAAATGGTGCTGTAATATATACGCCTTTCAGCATACACTATTAATTAAAGTGAAGTACAGTGCATATATCCCTTATGTCCCTTCACAGAACTAAAGTATGCTTTTAAAAAAGGTTGAATGAGATGATGGAATCAAAGCTGAACTGTATAACATAGAGAGGCCCACATGCTGAAAACCCAACCCCAGCAGGGGGTCTGGGGGGATTCTCCCCCAGGAGATTTTTAGAAATACTAACATATAAACTACGCATTCTGGTACACTCTGAGAAGAAAATAAATACATCTATTCCTACCCGACATATTAATAATATGTTATGCCATTGTTTGTTTTTCACTTTGTTCTGACAGCTTGCTGCTCCACACAGAGAGAAGAGCAAAGAGTAGATAGTCTGTGTGAATTACTTAAAATTGTGGGTAAGGGTAGATAGCCCCCATTGTTCTGTGACCTGTCAATCATCAAACCGGGGGACATATTTCATTATGTGTTCATTTGTATCTGAAGTTGTACCCATGGATGTATAAAGAATAGTTCTACCACAAAGTTATTCTCCGTGGGGACTTCCGGCAACAATCTTGATTCTGATTGGCCAGAAAACTCGAAAAAACATCCGCAAAGATGCTTTATTGAGAAGATGATCACTACATGACAGAAGTTTTCAAAACCGTTCATGGTCTCCGGTACTTCCAGTCCAACGCCCACTGCATGCACAGCATTAGAAAATCGGGCCTTCAAAATAAAAGTTTGACTTTCTTCCAAAATAAAAAATAAATAAAACTAAATAAAATGTCTTCACTCACACATCTGCGACCCACTCGAAACGGGTCCCACCAGTTGAGAACCACTGTTCTAGAGTACCCTGGAACCGAGGGAAACTCTGAAAGAATACGCCCATTGGCTACAAATCAATATATGATTGGTTGATCAAACTGTCAATCCAAATGTATGCTCTCATTCAGTGTAACGGCCAGGGCATTCTATCAAGGATATAGAATACATTGGTTGAAGGATATTCTACCCAGAGACCCAGAACAATATCTGATTGGTTGCATTTATTTTCTAACAAAAAACCACTGAAATGCGTAGGGCATGGACCGAGAAGGACAAACAACACAGATACGAATCTCATTTATTCATTTTATATACATTTTATTACATTTTATTTATATAATTAAATCGATTTTTTGTTTGTTTTATTTGAGTGTTCCAGGGTATTCTCTGAATACCTTGAAGGCCCTGACGGTTCGCCACTGTTTATTTTATTCCTGACTGTTAGACGAAACATTTGATTTCTTGAAGAAAACAAACTGTTGGTTGAACTTTAAACTAGCTAGCTTGCTAATAACCATTAAAGAGTTATCTCTGTATCTTGAGTTGTTTTATGTCTTCCTCTGACACTGAATAAATATACAAACATGAAACTAAAGTATGAAAACTGAATTTTGTTTGAGACTTTTCAGTATTGGTCAATATCTTTACTTAAAAAAAGATTTTAAATGTAACTTCATATTGAGTTTACTATATAGATCAGGCTGTAAAAATGCTATGTAGTCAAGCTCTAGCACTTTTTATAAATGAACTCAAAGCAGATAAAGCACGTGGTTCCAGCTTGAACCCTCAGAAAATGAGCCCTCCAATTTAACATGTCTATATTTTTGTTTCTTATTCTTTTACCACCGATTAATTTATTTTGGATCGATGGTGAGATTTGATGTTATAATCTTCCTAATTTCCCTCCCTAATTATCTTCCCTCTCCTCTCAGGGGCCCGAACCCCAGCAAGGTGATCCAGCAGCTCCTGGCTCTGCGCATCGACCAGCAGCTCCACATCTTCAACTCCCTGAAGGCTCACCTGACGGAGAAGGGTTTCCTGCCGGCGCTGGAGGACGTCATGGCCTAGACACCCCCCCCCCCCCCCCCCCTCACCCCACTGTGGCTCACCCCGAGGTGGAGAAGAGAGAGGAGGGTAGCACCCCGAGGACCCCCTGCTGACCCGGGACACTGGCAGTGATTTGTGTGTGAGCGAAAAACACATCAGAGAAAAAAGAAAAACGACAAAAAACTTCAGCTTTTTTTCATTCCACGTCATTTGGTCTGGGAGTCCAGTGTTTGTGAGTTACCGTACTGTTACACATTTCCGTTATAGACGACTTGTATTAACACTGTTGGTCAGATAGACATTTCTACCTGGATATCCTCTATATACCTATTAATGTGTGTTTTTCAGTTTTAATGCACTGCTCTCAACACTCACTGTACTGTATTGTTACCACCCCCCCCCCCCCCCCCTCCTCCTCCACAGATTTTAAGTTTCTGTGTCGTGATTGTTTATATTTATACATAGATGTTTTTTATATTTGTTCTATGATATCTAAATGTCGTGTTTTATTCAGACTCAATTCACCTTTGCCATTCGCCACGTGCATTTATATGTGAGTTTGTTTCTGTTTTTCCTGTGTTTTTGGTGCCATTCATCATTTCATAAAAGAGACATTGACATAATTTCATCATGTATTAACACAAAATAATGTCCTGAGAAGAATAGCTAAGTTACCCTGAAGTGTTTGACAGGATCAGTTACAGATACAATCCTCCATACAAGAATAGTGTTTTATTTTGAAGGCCAGTGCGACTGACAGCAGCACCCTCTCAGAATAATGGTCAATAATTTGCAGAAAAGCTCTCAGAATACAATCATGATTTTCTTTAATTGGCTTATTCTCTGTTACATAGTTTTAATCTCTGACAAATAGCTGTTTTACCACATGTTTTGTAAGGTGGTGGGATTGTTGCATCTGTTTGTTACATTAGTAGAAACAATAATGGTTTCTAAACTGCCAATATCTGCTTCTTTATGTTGTAATGTTAGCAGCTTCAGGGCAGAAATACAGATTATATACAGAATATGTTTATCGCTGGTGGACCTGTGTGTGTGACGGCAGCTGTGCCAGATGTGACCTGATTGCCAATTCAAGATGTTTTACAGAAAGGACCCTTTGATATCTATACCAGTGGCAAATGTCCGCTTCATTTGGTGGTTCGAATATAAAAGATTCTCTAATGTTGAGTTCATTTTGTTTTGTTTTCTTTAGGGGAAGCACCCCAGGTAAAAAGGGGAACAAATTGGAATTTCTTGCATCTTTTTATTGTGCTAAATCAATAGCCTCACTGGCATTTAGCCCTTTGAAGTTTAAATTAGGCGTAACTAACTAAAGAGCAACTGATGTACAACATATTTACTTGCATTTTAGAAATGTCCGTATGACTTTATGTTGATATTGTTAAAGAAAGGTAAAGCAGTTTTGGCTTGTGCTTCAAACCTCCAGGCCAAAAACTGGTACAAATTAATATTGCTAAGTACATCAACAAATGGTCACATCTTTCTGGGTTATTTTGGGAACAAACATCTGTATTCAGTGTACGTGCCGTAACGTGGGTCCAACTCTGGTTGGATAAAGATAAAGGCTCTTATATGTCACCATAATCATCCAATCACATCAGGTTGTCCATCATGTCTCTTCAGATTCATCCTTTAGTTTCCATCCAATCAGAACATATATAATTTATCCCCGTCAGTGAAAGCCAAATTAAGTAACTTACGTGTAAATGTAACCCTGGCTATAAAAATGCTGTGTTTATTTGTAAAGGACAAAACAGCAATATGAACAATCATACAGCAGTCAGTGTAGCAGAAATGTGAAGTTAAGTATCTAAATGCTATTCTTAAAAAAAACAGCTTACGTTTGTGCTATTATCTGTGACTGCTTCACGTAATCATTTTGGAAATAATTTGCCATTTTAAATATCCATTTTATTGGGTTCTGTCCTCAGAAAAAGCTGTATATTTTTAAGCAATTTACTCACTTTTTTGTAACACAACATTTGCTTCATTATGGCAATCAATTTCTAAAAGAAATAATGAATGTATAGACTATTCCTTTTCCCCCTTTTTGACTGTCACTCCATTACATTACACGTTACTTGTTAGACGCTTTTATCCAAAGCAACTTACATACTCAATACTGTGGACAATCCCCACAGGAGCAATTTGGGGTGAAGTGTCTTGCCCAGGGACACAACGACATGCTGACTGCAGTGGGGTTTGAACCTGTTTGACCCCCTGATCCCAACACCAAGGCTCTATCCACTGCGCAACACGCCTCCCCATCATTTCATTAACTTTTCTTAACTTCTTAAAGTATTTATTTATTTACTGTGAGAAAACCTTTTCAAAGTGACTATATTGTACATTTAAGAAGATGTTTAGAAACGGTGTTCTTCAGTATTTTTGTTTAGAGGAATATTTAAATGATTGCCATATAGGAGAGAGTATGGAGATAGCAGCAAAGTATTTTTCTGTCTTTTTTTCTTGCTGTGACTTCAGTGCAGTTGGGTGTTTTTTTGGCTGTTCCACTGTAACTGTAATTAAAGCATTGTCTCTAGAATTGATGTGTTTAGGACTGGTGTCTCAGCATTTATAGATAAGTTCTATTTCTATTTTTAAGCTCATTTCCCTGCAGCTCTGTACTGCCATTTCTCTCTCTGGTGTCACAACTGTCCACTAGAGAGCGCTGCAGCTCCTGAGATTTAACACTGATGCTGCAGAAAGCTTTCTTGCTGATGTTGAATACATTCCAGTAAGTTCAAAAATATTATTAATGCCACTATTCAAAGAAGATTTGTTTGTTTTATGGCACCCGTTATGCCATTTTAAATCAACAGAGTGCCCTCTTCTTAAGGATTGAACGTCCCACATGCTGTTTCCCTTTGTGGACATTTTATGTTGTGCTTATCTTAAGAAGCTGTTTGATTTCAGTATATTATTCTTAAAACTGCAACTGTTTTTGTTGACATTTTTTCTAGATAATATAACTTGTACTCTTTGATGCTGAATTGTGCTTGGCCTTAGTTTCAAGAAAATTAAAGGTATAAAAAAAAAAAAAAAGTGTATGTGACGGGCTTCTTCCCTCTTAGTCTTCTTCCCCATTTATAAATAGATATCACGTCCACTTCATGACACCTATTGAACGATTTCATAACAGCTGTTTATATCCTAAAGCAGTGGTGGTGGATAGTAACTGAGTACCTTTACTCAGTTATTGAACAATTTGTAGGCAATTTACTTGAGTATTTACTTTTCCTGCTACTTTATACTTACAAAATATATTCAAATAATTGTTCATGTATTAGAGCTTTATTGGCCCCTATGAGAAATGTACAAGCTACCCTGCAGTATATAAAGGTAAAGTTGTTTCCTATTTATCAGAGGCAACATTTGAGCATTAATGGATTAAGATTTATAATTTTAAAATATAACATATATTTTCTAAATATAATTTTTTTTCAGATACTTTTACTTTTACAAATATAAGTATAATTTGATGACTTAAGGACAAAGTATTCAGCACTTTAACTTAAATAAAAATAGTAAAACCACAGTGTGTAGAAACGATCAGTGGCGACTGGTCATTAGGGGCAGGTGGGGCACAGCCCCACCTAGTGTCAGCAGAAAGTATTACAAATAAGGATTACAAAAATGCAAAAAAATAAATAAAAAAATATATAAAATATATTTTAAGATCATGTTTAATCATCTGATTCGTCTGTACATTGCTGTTTTAGTCTGTGTTCTTCTAATTAGTGTGTCTACAGTCACAGTGTGTGCCTATTGAGCTGTTTAGAGCCATGTGGGACAAAACCTGATTATGCCCCTTCCTCTCGCTGTGAAGTGAACGGTGACTGTAAAAACTACACTGCGCATGCTCAGAGTATTTTGTAATGTAATGTGTGTGGCAAAAAAATAATGACCAGAGGGGCACAGAGCTACCATCCCCACCATACGTCATCTCAAATCATTCAGAGCTGATTGGCTGTAAGTACGTGTGCCGCGAAAAGTGTGGTGCTTGAAGAGGAGACGAGAGAGCTGCAGTGGCGCGTCCTAAAACCAGGAAGTAAGCACAAAAAAGCAATGAGATTTCTCCAGAGGATTTTAGAAAATAACTCGAAATAAGATCTGTGGGAAACGTACCTGTTAGATAAATGCACGTTTTGATTAGCCGGATAACATCCACATGTCTACCCTACTTTTATAATTTTTTTATCATAAATCCATGGATTAGATTTATGATAGACTTTTGAAACTACAAGAAGATAAGGAGGACTTTTACAAAAAAGTAATAGAAATGTTTGTCCAGAAGGATAGGCAAATGGACTTCATCTTCAAGTCAAGGTAAGACCGCCATTTTATTGAAAATGGGATCTTACTAAGAGAGAACAATTCAATATTTAAATGATAAAATTACATTTTTTGGGTATCCTTTTGTTGAACTGTCTGTTTAAAATTAATCGAAGCATCAGACAAAAAAAGCTTTTGAAAATAATATTATATTTTGGTTTAGGTCAAAATATAATATTTGTAAACCTGAAGAGTCAGTGCCAGTGCCTCACCAGCCATGAACCTCACTGCACGTCACTGCAGAAGCTTATATATAGACATCTAAGTTTTTTGTGCCCCACCACTTTTGTACATATAAAAACGCCACTGGAAACGATCAACACAATACAAATAAGTCCAGCATTTAAATGTGATAAACACATTAATGCATCAATGATTATAATCAAAACATATAATATATATTATTCTGAAATGGGTCGATCTGCATATTGAGTACTTTTACTTTTGGAACTTTAATTATATTTTGATGCCAAAAGTTGTATACTTTTACTTCAGTAACATCTTGAATGCAGGACTTTTACTTGTGCAAGTCAACCACGAGGATGCAAACTCCGAACAGCACGAATCCTGTACAGCTTCAGATATGCAAAACATTTGTAATTGCTATTACAGATATTTGATTTGTGTACCTGCGACCTGTTTAGCTCAATGATTTTTATTTATTTCCCCTTTTTCCTATATGAGTAT